CCTTCGTTCTCACGCCAAAAAATTTAAGGGTAAATGTTCATTGTTAATTAAGATTTACTAATTAAAATGAAAATAATTAAGGATAAAGCTTAATCTCGGAATATTAGGCTATACTTAGAACGAAAATAAGTTTTTCTGTGTGTATGCATGAGTGTGTGTGTGTGTGTTTTTTTTGGAGAGGGGGGAGGGGGGTGTTTCCTGTTTGCAATGTGTTTTGTCTATCTGTCAGTGAGGTTTCAGCGAAAGCCGGCCTGCATGCCAGAAAGCGAGGGATGAGAAGTGTAAAGGATCTGGCGAGCTGCTTTGATGTAATCTAGGCGAGTGTTATGGCGTTACACCACTTACGCCACAGTTGCATGTATATAGAATGTATACTGTGCACAGAATGCAAATATTCTGATGAGTGGCCGAGTACGTTTTCCACAATGTGCAGTATACATCAGAACACACTGCATACCATAATACCATATTTGTACTTGACCTTCCATTTCAGATGATAACTCATCAATAGATGACTCAACTAATAGATGACACTCACATGCAACGTGATGAGGTCATGTGCAATATAGCATATTACTTATTTTTTTATTGTGAAGCAATGCATCAAATAGTAGCCTTTTTATAATATTTTATAATAATTTTTATAATAGCTTTTTTCAAATAGTTGCCAGTATACTGCACATACTTAATGTATACTGGGCAGTATTTAATAAACTATAAACCAGTATTCTTTTCTGATCATGGTCTCTGTGTATCCTCTCAATATAAAGAAAAGCCAGTTCTATTTGATTCTATTTGAATTTGATTCAGGGAGTCATGATCTCATTCCAAAAATAATCTCAATGCATCTCAATTCTGCAGGGTGCATATATTGGTAACGTTAACAAATGTTGACAAATTCTTTGTTAATATTCATCACAAAGCTGTAAGAAAAAGTAGAAATGAATATTATTTTCTGTAAAGTTTTCTCTCTTACTCTCTTCAGGTCTTTTTCACATAGTGAAATATTTCATTCTCCTGTGTAGGTGGAATGGACTCGGACCCCGGAGCCCATAGAGGTGCTTGTTTTGTGTTTGAGGGCCGTGAGAGAGAAGCTGCCCAGAGGTCTGTACTCACTGAGCGTGTCTCTTCAGACTCAACTGGGCGGCCGCACGCTGCACTGGTCCCGTCTGCAGGAGCAGCAGTGGGTTGGAAGAACAGAACCCGTGGAACACCAGGGCCGATACTTTGACATAGAGCTCAACATTAACCAGAGCCTCTACATGGTAAGAAAACCCTAGCAAACTGCCCTCCTGAGGCACTCACAGCACTGCAGTTTATTTAACCCTAACAACAAAATGGCTAATGTTCAAAGAACCGATTTGATGATTGTTGATATGAGTGGATTTATGCTACATTAAAGAGCACAGCAATCAAACGTCATCACCTTTACGTTAGAAATTGTGGGATATTTTACCACTATCAATCATGGGTGCTGCTCAGAGGGGCCGTCTGTCACTGAGAACATTTGTCATATTTTTGTCAGAAGTAATGAGTTTTGAAAGCATATTTACATTTGTTTTCTCAGTTTGGCAAGCTAAAAAAATGCATTTTCCCCCCCATTATTTTATTAAGATGTTCTGTATTTTTTGGAGCTCACAAAGAGATATTATTCTAATTTAAAACAATGTTTTCTTATATATAATATAATTTATATTTAGTATAGCAAAGCTAATTTTTTTCAGCAGCTATTACTCCGGTCTTCAGTGTTACATGATCCTTTAGAAATCATTCTTATACACTGATTGGTGCTCAAGAAACACTTCTTATAATTAGCAATGTTGAAAATAGTTGTGCAAACAGATGTGCTGCTTACAATTATTGTAGAAACCATGATACGTTTTTTTTTCAAGATTCTTTAATACTTAGAAAGTTAAAAAGGACAAAAGCACAATAAGCATTTATTTGAAATACATTTTTTTTTTAACCTTATAAACGTCTGTCAGTTTTGATCAATGTATAAGAAAAAAAAATCCTTCAATCAATCAATAAAAAAACAAAACTTACTAACACCAAACTTTTGAAAGAGCATATTTTATTGCAATATTGTTATATATCACAAAGCATACATCAAAAAGCTTTATGAAAACTAACTCACACTCACTTTTAAAGGGATAGTCCACCCAAAAATGAAAATTCAGTGAAATGAAATGAAAACCACTTTGATACTAATCCATATGAATTCATGTGGACTACTAATCCATAATCCATATGAATCAATCGCTTTATATGATGAACAGATTTAATTTAGGCACACACACACACCAGTTATGGAAAACAGCTCAATGTAAATATGTGAATAAAAGCTTAAATATAGGCTGCTCATCATACGAAGCAACCAAGCAAACCGATCTCTTAATACACTTTTTAAGCATCAAAGTGGTAGTTGTGTAGAACGGAGGGACAGAAATGACTCTAATTATCAGATGGGACTAAATTCCAGAACAGGACCATGCTATTTTTTCTCTCTGCGGTTCCACTTCAGCTGTTGAATATAGAGTCAGAATGAGGCTTATGAAATGTGATATTAAACAGTGAGTGTGTGTATAGGAGTGGAAAGAGACTGTATTAAAAACTGCTGCTGAAAGCTCAAGGTTTGACTTGAGGGACAGTCACTGTGAATAAAACGGCTGCTTTTCTAACATGACATTTAGTGTGTGAACGCAAATCAAATTTATAATTCATTATACAAGAGCTGACGGTTTATTGGGATAAAAATGATGTACAAAAATTATGCTGTGAAACCAGAATTCCAGAACTCAGAACTACTGAGAAAATAAGAAAAAATAAATAACGATATGCTTTTAAGGAACTATCAATGCTGTTCAGAGCAATAGTGTTAAATATTAAGTTAGTTTATGGGAGTGATGCTTTAGCGTTTAGCGCACATCTTGTTTTCTGTCGCCTGTGTATGAGGAAGAGCTGTAAAGAAAGAAGATGAAAGAAGACCTATAAATTGATCAATGCACTATATGTCAATGGGAGACTTTATTCATTTTTTTTAATGATTTTGATTAATGATTAATGAGTTTTAGTGTTACTTAAAAAAAGAGAGAATAATCTAATTATTCTATTTACAAGAATAAAGTGATAATGTTTCGACAATGAAGCTCTGATATTATGAGATCTGAAAATGTGAAGATCTCTAAAACTTTATTCTCAAAATAACACTTTAATCTTGTAAGCTTACTTTATTCTCATAACTTTATTTTGTAAAAGGCCTATTGTGAGATTATTCCCAAAACATTGCAATTTTATTCTTGTAATATTATGACTTGATCCTCAAAATCAGTTTTTTTGTCTGTACACACCTAAGACGGAAATTATCTTCAAATCAAAGCTTGAATGGAGTCTGTGTTAAGTGGTTTGGGCTGAATTTATTCCAGAAGTTTAGACCAAACCCTCACCAGAATGTTTGTTCAGTAGTGCCATCCAAGCACTGTAAATAAAGAACCTAAAAATGTGATCACGATCAATAAATAAAGCACCTAATCTAGCATGCGCTTGTGTAGTCAGGCCTATATCTGCAGACAGAAGCGTCTGACACAAAGGAAATAAAGTGGGCCGCTTTAACTGAATACTCCTCCTCTCTCGTCCAAAACCGTGGGCTCTTATTTGGCAGGCGATCATTTAGCGCTCCATTGAGATTGTCTAGTGTCAGTCTCCTCTATCCTCTACCAGCTCTTATTTATAGCCAATCCTGTTGCTGTTGATGTTTATGTTTCGAAGATTTCCATCAGATTTGTCTGTAATTGGCTCATTTGCTTTTCGCAGTTGCCCACATTACCGTGCGCTCTCGCCTCGTCTGTTTTCCTCAACAGCTTTTGCAGAGGAAACGAGGAATTAACGTTAGTAGGAGGAAAGCTACAGCTCATCATGTTTTTCTTGAGTGTCCCTGGCTGGCGCGTAGAGATGCTCTGGTCTGATCCATCTTGCAGATTTGAGTCTTTCCTTCAAGTGGGATGTGAAAGATGTGATGGTCCAGGCAAGGAAGCAGAAGATAAGAAGAATCTTTCGCTGCTTTGTCAATCTGTAGTTTCGGTCTCATTTTCAAATCTCTTCATTCTGTTGTTTCATAGCGCTTCCATCTAAAGCCAAAACAGTCATTTAATGTTAAAAAGCAGAATGACACCAGCAGTCCATGAGGGAAATGCACTTAAATTCACTTTTTTTTTGTTTTTTTTCAATTTATGCCTTCACATGTTTGTGTTTTCTCTTTTCCCCTCTTTCTCTTGTGGAGTTTGCTCAGTAAGCACAGGTCTGTTTTGAATGAAATCTGATCTCTGTGATGCTTTAATAGATTCCCAGCATGTAGCAGTTGTACCTGAGAACTGACACAGGCCTAAAACACAATGTTTCAGCCATTTCATTGTGTTTTCACTCTTTCCTTTTTTAATCTCTTTTTCTTTGCCAATTGATACAGTCAGCAGCGTTCTTGCTTATTTTTCAGTGAATTAAGCGTCTGAAATATTATTCAATATGTATAATGCAGGAGATTATGGCATACATTTGAGGCCCGATGCAGGGAATCTGTGCCATTTTTTTTTTAGGTGTGAGCACAAAGCGATTAGAAGAGAAACACATGATGAATGTGATAAAAGAAGTCTTCTCCGTTTTCCATTACTCCTAATGGAGGGATAGAATATTCCTGGAGTGACTGATGAAGTCAATCGCTTCTTTTTGTCAGTTCATTTTTTAAAGGTCTGTCTCTTGCTTGATGGGTAAATAAGGATCTCTGCGTGTTATTCCTCATGCCACGTTTTCCTGATATACCACATTTTTCCTTAAATGTGCCTGGTTTACATATGTTCTAGTGATGTCACGGCTGTCATGTTGGGATCATCACATGCTGGCGCTCCTGCTGAGATGGCTTCCTGAAAGCAGCCATAATCACATTCCGATGTTTCATCATCTAGGTTCAAACTTTAGATCATATTAAACACATTTACATCTTTAACTAGAGAGAGGAAATTAGATACAAAATATCCATTTTGTAAGAGAGAATTTACTCTTTACATTGCACCCCTTTTCTGTTTTACTTTCTCTAACGAGTAGTGTTAAAACCGTTAGCTGTGTTTTGTGTGCCACAGTGAAAATTAGAGGATGCTTTATTTTAGACTATTACAATAATATATAGCATCAGTGAAGGGTGCTTAACTTTCCAAAAATGTTGTATGTCCACATAAGTCAAAATAAATTATTTTGTTTGACTTTTTTTTAAAATAATTTTTAATGATTTTTTTTTTTAACCTGTTACATAGGAACGCAATCCCTGAATTTATTTTTCTTACCTGAATTCTAGCAATAATAATAATAATAATAATAATAACAATAATAATAATAACGAATACAAATTAAACATCAACAAAACACTAGTTTAAATGTTTTGCAGGATTAAATGTAACAGGGTTGCAAAATTTGAATCATTATTAGGGGCTAGTTAATTTGGGACCACACTACATTAAATCTAAAATTTTATTGAAGGTATTCAACTTTTTTTTTTTTTTTTTTTTAGTTATTCATTTTTTAAAGAATAAGCTTGCATCCTCTCTGTCTATTAATATATTTAAAAGTTGTCTATCAAAGATTCGTTTGCATTTGAAACACCATGATTTCATTTTGTGCTAAACAAACAGAGTAGTGTTTAATTTTTGTAATGCAAATTATTTTAATCAGTCGCTTTGGTCTTCTCTGTGTTACATGTGCTAATAAATAATTTTGACTTTGACCCTGAACTCTCTTTGTCCCCTTTTTTTTTTCTAGATTTGTTTTAAATGATAGATTTAGATTTACTGTAGGTATTGTTCCCTTTTTGTCTCTTCCAGGTCTTGCCTGCATCATGTGATCTGTTGCCGTCCAGTGTGTTAGTGTTCAAGCTGTTATCTCTGCCTGGAGATCACAGTCATGTGAGTTCTGTGGTGGGCTGGGGTGCATTTCCCGTCTGCGACTGCTCCCTCCAACTCTTCAATGGCAAGTTCAAGACCCCTCTCTTGCGTGGCAGTCTGAACCCCTCACTCAACCAGTTCCGCAGAATTGAGCATCTGCTTTCCACTGACCTGGACAACTGGCTATGCAACCTCTACTTCCAGGTACATCTTTAAAGGTTTACTTTTATGAAGATATTCAACAGTCTAATGATTCATACTATAAATAATAATAATAATAATAATAATAATAATAATTAATAACAGTTTTATTTACTTTATGTTGTAATTGCTTTAAGCTAATAAACCACTTTACCCTAAGTGAACTCTGTAAAAGATAGTTTTTGTAGAATAGTGCCTGGTTTGTATATGTGAGTGTGTGTGTGAGAGAGTGTAAAGGCTCTAGAAAGAAAATTGGAAATTGGAGCCAGGTTGTAAACAAACCACATCTTTACTAAACACATCCAGATACATTTGAGGAGAAGCATTGATCCTGTTACTCAACAGCTTAATGAAATTAAAAAGCAGAGCAAAGGCTTTTCTCAATCTAATGCATTCATATAATTGGAAAATATTGTGTGTAGTGAGTGTAACCAATTAATATATCCTTATGGGATCTGCACTCCACAAAAAGTCCATACAAATTGTACACATTCACAATCCCATTAATGTTAAAAAAATATATATTTTGGCTACTTTGACAGTTTGACACATTTTACCATGTTTAAAGTCAATCCAGATAAATCTGCAGATTTACCAGCCAAATCGGTGCATAAAGTGAAAAAAAAAAAGTCATTCCATATGAGAAAGAAGCAGTCTGTGATTTTGTGCAAAACATTACAGGTTTGTTTTCGAAGAGTCCCAGACAGTAAAAGAAACAACACTTCCCATGTCTTTTTTTTTT